ATAGTGAGGTTAGTGACGTAGTGAGGACTTTGACGATTTTTTTGAGGAAATTTGATTCGAAGGATTAGATGCGCTGGATGTTGGCTGGCTTGGCATTCGCAGTACTGTCTTGTGTAGGCTTGGTTGAGGTTTGACAGTCATTACGGATTTCGGTCTTAGGAGTCTTCGTAGTTGTCCAAATCTTCTGTTAAGTTATTCAGATATCGTGAGATGCGGTCGGGTGTAAATATAAAACACCCGACCACATCTCACGATATCTGAATAACTATCGATTAACGGTCACTAATCTCTACACACTTCTGTTAAGTTGTTATCTCTTACGTTTGTGTGGGGATTCCACGTCAGTCTGCTGTCTAGGTATAGTCGAAGGTATTTGACTTGAGTGAAGTTGGTATCTCTTTGTTGTTGAAGTACAGTAGAAGGCTGTTTTTTCCCCCACCAATGTGAACGTATACTGAGTACATTTTCCTTCATTCAGTCTGTACTCCACTTGTTGCACCAGTATTCGATAAGCACTAGGTGTTCTTGGATATTGGATGTAGCGTGGGTAGGATTCGAGTTACAGGTTGTGATGATGGTATTGGATTGTGCAGATAGGTCAGCAGTACATTGTAAATGTTATAAAGGATGGGACCAATCCCTAGTGGGACGCTGGCTTGTATCTGCCCGATTTCCGACAACTCGTTGACGCACCTCACTCTGAAGCAGGTCTGTTAGGTAGGATTTCAGGATAAGGAGAGGGTAGGAAGTGTTTTAAGTATATAAAGTAGTGCCAGACCCTATCAAAAGCTTGTACTACATACCCAAGCAATAGTCTTTACTATCAAGAGCAAAGGATATAGTTTCGACAACTCTGAAACGAACATAAATTTAAATTGTGATAAATTTTTGTGTGAATTGAACAACCGTCAACTTCATACCGATTACGTGTAAACATATTAAATTCAGTAGGGATTTTTTTATTGAGGTCCGAGGGGTAATGAACCAAAATTTAGATCCTGGTCCGCCTAGTTTCGCCATCTTCTGAACCAAAATTTAGATCCTCGTCCGCCTAGTTTCGCCATCTTCTGAACTAAAATTTAGAACCACGTCGGCCTAGTTTCGCCATCTTCAGTGTTTTGTTTGTGTCATTGTACCTATTTGAGATTTTCACTCCTTAGGACAGACAAATCATTACCACCTACTGAAGATAGGCGGTAACATGCCGAACGAGCGGGGCCAGGCGGACCAAATGCAAAATCTTATATATTCAAACTGTTTGGATATTTTTTTCCGTTTCGAAAAGCCTTTTATGCATTTCACTCCGTTTCCGATGCAGCCAGGAGATGATTCTAAAGAATTTTCTAGGCCGCGATCATGACAGCTGGAATGGAAAGTTCGAGAAAATCAACTGAATGACGTGTCGGGGCGTAAAAAATTAGGTTTCCAATTTGTTCTCTCTATTTTACTTTTTTCTTTGCTTTTGGTAGTTAGATATGATGATGATTTTGCAAACACCCTTCTCCGTTATGGTCCAGTATTTTTACAAAACAATTAGTACATTGACTGTTTGACTGGAATGGTAGATTCTTTTTAGTTTACCGGAATATATTTTTTTTAAACTGCTAGTTTTCTTCGTGGAGTTTCTGATAGGTTCGCTTATTCCGATCATTCTAGTCTGCCGAGCCTAGCTGCTTTGTATTCATTGCGTTTCATCAAGGATATAAGGAGGGAATAATCACTGAAGATATGTGACAGACACATCATAAAATCGCGATATCGCAAAAATTATGTTTCTTTACTTTTGTATACTGATTCTAACAGAAAAGGATGCAATATGCAAAAAAAAATAACACTAAAAATTCATAAGCTTTTCCAACTTTTCTTTATTTTTTAGCTAGATGTATTTCGAAGCTCTTTCCGCTCAAAATAAAAATGTACAAATGAGAAGGGGGAAAGTGCCTCGAAAATCTCCTTTAAAAAAATCCAATAAAAACGATGGAAAAGCTTACGAACTCTTTGGAAAAGATCACTCACAGATTGTATAACTATCTTTCCCGAAACGTAAATGACATACGTCAAGCTTACGAATTTTTTATAATAAAAATGAGAAATATCCAACAAAAAGAGAAGCAATGAGCCACTAATTATGATTATTTTTTGTTATTTTGAAAAATACATTCTTCAAATAACACCATAGAGTCGATTGCAACAAAATTTAACCAATATTTGGTAATTATAATCAACGTTCTCCTTTGCAGATGACAAGGGTTGGTTTTAGTCATTACAAAACCAGAGGAATAAAAAACTTGAGGATAACTTTTTTGAAGGTTTTTGTTTAATGAAATTAATTGAATATATGCGCTTTTTGATTTCGAATAATTCATACTATTTACTGTCGTTACTGGTAAATTTTTTTTTATAAATTGCATTAATTATATCATTTACTTATACAGAGAATGCTTTTTTGATGGCCGGGCTGAATTGCTCTTGAACAGATAACGTTATCAAAAAACCAAAAATACATATTTAATATTATATCGTCTAGTTTTAAATTGTTACCACTTTGATTAAAATATTTGTTGACAGGATACTTCAGAGTCAGTACAGCTTTGAAATTTTAAATAAGAACGTATAGTTTTTTACTCAATGTTTTAAACTACAAACGATGGCGCAGTCAGATTTTAAATTGGCCAAAGAAAAACAAAGTTATGTATGTGAAAACAAAAATATCTTTTTTAGTGCTAGTTGGTTTTACAATAATTTTGATGGGTCTGCTAGCAGTGAGTACTAGGACGTTAAGTTAAGCACGTTATTTAATAAACGGTTATATTTTTTAAAAAAAGGTCTCTATATATTTCCAGCATTAAGAACAGCGAACAGGGATTACATAGATGGTCGAAACGTGTAGAGTACCTTTTTTAAAAACATGCAACCTTTTATTAACTAAAAATGTGCATAACCATTGATAGCAAACACATAACATCATCCAAAGAAATTCTTAAGTATTTTCCATAATGTGATTCTTATTTTTTTTTTTTTTTTGCTTTGTCAATGATTGTTTTGATACTGTTTACACAACTGGTCTTATTGGATTTAAACAGAATGAGCATCATTAGCGCTAAATTCCAACTTTTCTTTGCCTCCATGAATTTTAAATATTCTTTAATAAGATTTTATTGGTCAGTCAAAACGAGCCAAAGGGTGCGTTTTTCTTGTCAAGATCTGGTTTATGTGTACGATATCATTGAAAGTGGCGGAAATGGCTCGTCGAGTAGTCGAGTTGAAACCCCCAGGAATTTCTTGTTCGCTCCCGGTGAACGACACATCGCTTATCCGTGTTGCACAAGATATAAGGTGTAGATCAGATGGCAGCCCATAGAAAAACTTACCACAGTATTTTGTTGAAGAGCTAAACATTTTGTTGTACGTTCCCACAAATCTACACTCATCCCTTCGAAATTCCGGAAGTGCTTTTGGGAGTTTTGTCCGGGTGCCTCGAGACGCTGATTTCGGTTAATAGGGACGTCTCTTTGCGATACAGAAGAAAATGTGATGGACAAAACGACTGATGAATCTGAGCTCACCACAAATGGTGATCTCAATCGATGTCATTTTCGAAAATCGGCACAGGAAAACTCCTGAATTAAGTAACCAAGTCATCACAAAGTAGTTCGCATTTTGCGCCACAACTGTGCCATTTTTTGACCAACTTAAAATATAATTGCTCCATACTTTTCAGTGTAAAGAAATCCTTTAAAACAGCGGATAAAAAAAGTACGCGTTCTCATTTAAAATTTCAAAGTTGTACTGGCTCTGAAGAACCCTGATCGAAATATTAAAAATACCGAAAAAAGAGGTAAAAATTTAAAACTATACTGAAAAATACCGTATATCGTATATTTTTGGTTTTTCTACGTTATATATTCAAGAGAAATTCAACAGGGCCATTTAAAAACTAAACCTTATTATGTATTTAATTAATCGTAATTAAAATGACGATTTTATTATATAATACACTGAATTTATTAGAAGTCAAATCTTCACAGAGAACCTTAGTCTTTAAAAAAAAATAAAAAATAAAATAAAATAACTAGGTTTTATTTTATTCGACTATGTCGTATTTTTCAATTATTTATTATATTACGAATTGTATTTAAAAAAGAACAACCTAGACCTCCTGAAATTTTGTCTAATGATTAAAAGCAGTACAATAATGAGATTAATTTTTGGGAATGGTGTTTTTTCCCCCTTTGTTATTATTACAGCCTGAGTAGTGGGTGATTAAATGCCGAAATCTCCATTGGAACACTCAAAGAAAACATGTTGAACAGATAATGATAAATACAACGAGGTTTTATTAAATTTGTTGAATAACGATTAGGCATTTCTTCCAACATATTTGCAAAAACTACGCCTTAATTAAAAACGTTAATATTTTTTTATATCGACCTTAACATCACGACTGCGACATCGAGAAAAATATGAACAAATAGGAAAGCATAATAAACAAATTTTCATATAAACACGTACCACGTCTCGAGCAGTGACTCACAAAGGATAGAAGCTTCAGAAGCCATAAAACAAAAACTACGAAGGTATGCACAGGTGTGACAGGAAAGCCCTTTAAGGCAGGTCACAAACCATTTATACAACATTCTATTGTTATACGTCAGATTCATTTGTTCTAATTAAGCTTATTGGTTTATTATAAGGTCGATTTTTTTTCTAAAGAAAATATAAATTTATAACGGCTTATTGTTGTAATTGCGATTTTATTGCAAGTGATTTCTAAGGATGAATTTTTTTCAGCTTCTTTAACCGTTCGACAGTCTGCTCTTCCAGCTCGACCTCCCGATCCCGTTAGGCAAATCCTTGTAGAAAGTGAGCGCGATTACATTTTCTTATGTTTATTTATTTTGTTTTTCCTTTAGTTCAATAAAAAAACCAACGATTATATCGGTTTCATCGTTAATCGTTTAAATCTAGGTAGGTTTATTAGGTAAAAATTAAACACCAACCTGTTTCTGATCCGCTTAGAATTGTACAACAAACACGATCCACCTGTTAAAATCCGTTTGGAAATGCGTTCCAGATAGTAAAAAGAAGGTAAAACCCGAAAAAGTGAAAACTAGTACGAGCCACACGGTGTACCAGTAAATACTGAAGTCTGAAACTCTGAAAGTGGTGGCCTTCCATGATCGAAGCGCCACGCGATGGAGAAGGGGAAATAATGCCGAGTGGAAGGAGAAGAGTTAAAGAACGGCTATCATGGTGGTTAATTGGGTTAAAGCTTTCTTCAACAAGGGCTTAAACGGTTAATTGCATGGAAAATTCTCGGGCTTGTCATCCCTGATCATATTTTCCCCCCAGTCTTGTTTGTATATCTAATCTACCTGGAAAGATATGCGGTTCTATGACACCCACCTATCCCCTCTCACTCTTATCTGCAATCCCGGACTTTCATAATCTTCTATTATACTTAATCCTATAGAATTTGTCTCTACGCCGTCAAAAGTCGAGCAGCATTTAACAAATCTGGTAAAAGACCGTTTTTCTCAGGCAGATTGAGCAAAGGTTTTTTTGTTAGGACAAACCCTATGTCTGCAGACTGCGGTCTCCTCTTTCTAGTATCCCTTTTACAAACAATGCAGAAGACGCGGAGGAACCTAACTTGTGCACTTATTTATTGGTAATTAGTAAATAATGCACAAATAAGTTAATTATTGATAATAAATATACAAACATTAACATGAGTAAATAGACTTGAATATACACTCAAAGATCGGATTTCGTCTTGAGAAACAGAATCTCGTTCTTCAACAAGAGCGATTTGAAGCTGTTCAACGATTGTCGGACCGGTGAAAAATGCGTAACCCGTCTCTTTATCATGTCCCATACGTGTTCTATAGATTGTCAGGAGAACGTGCTGGCCAATGCATTGAGGTAATTCCTACATGCTCCAAGTAATGGGTGACAACTCGAGCAACATGCTGTCGAACATTATCCAGTATAAAGGCGTTATCCCCAATAAATGTATTATATAATGAATGGGACCACAGCTCTGTAATGTACCGTAGTGCGTCAAAGATCCATTCTGTTTATAATAAGTTCGGTATGGGCATGGACTATTCCACCCCATACCACTGAGTGTCTTTGAAAAGGCAGTGACTCACGCATGGCACTAGAAGCAAAGCGTTCTCCACTTCTTCTGCACACACGGTCCCGGTAATCTGGTTGTCACAAACCAAACCGGCACTCATTAAGGAAATAGTCCCCCAGTGTCCAAGATCGGTGCCTTTCCAGAGAATCTAAAGTGGGATGTCAAGAGACTAGACCATAGCTTACCAAACGGTGGTCTGCGGACGGTTGCCTAGAGATTTCATTGTGAAAACTAGGTACAGTGTTCCAAGTACGCTAAGTACCACGACAGCCACTTAGATTTGGGATTTATAGAGGGTAAAGATCAGTTGCGCAAAAGTCATTCGAAACAGTTCAATGGTTTCAGTTAAATTGCGCCTTCATTTTGAGGGTAAACACGCAGACCTCGGGGGAAAAAGACTGATTTTTTTCAGGAGGAAGCGCACTGAACTTGCTGCTTCACAAATCTTCATTAAAAATTCATGCAAAAAACTTAAATGAAAAACTCACTAAAAGCGTCTTAATGGATAAGTTATCGAGTGGCAGGTAAAGCTCCATTGCTGAACCCTCATAAAACCGTGTGCTTACGATATTGTATTTTGATGAAGAAACAGTAAAACTTATTTGTTCTGTGCCCTTATCAAACAATACTGTAAAAAGACGGATACTTGATTTAAATGTGAAAGAACTGCGGTTTCTCTCATCCAACACAATTCATTTTCTCGACGAATCAACTGACGACGTTGGGTCAGCTACTTGATTGGTTTTTTTCTTGAATGGACTTACCTTGTGCAAACCACTTCCTGCCCATGCAACAGATGCTGACATACTCCGTTTGTGGGACGATTTGTTTACAACTGAAGAAATTCCTTGGTCCTATTGCATTGACGTCTGCACAGATGGTGCAAAAGCAATGACTGGCCAAACGATCGGAGTGATTACTAAGATAAAAGATAAATCGAAGAATTGCATCAGGAATCGTAGTGTTCTACACAGATACGCTTTAGCTATGAAACAAATTCCAACCTCTTTTAAGAAAGTTTTGGATGAGTCTGCTCAAATTATTATTTCTAGTTGCTGCTTTTCACAACACTATGCGACGATATGGGAAGCTTTCATCATTTCCTGCTCCTACAAGCAGAGAAAAGTGGAAAAGCACTTTCCCGATTACAGAAGAATTTTGGGAAAGTTTTGAAGTCTTATCTCTGTTGATGGACCGCAATGTCAAATTAGCCAAAGTTTTCAATGATGAAAAATGGCTATTGAATACTGTCGTATTTATCAGATATTTTCATGAAAATGAATGAAATGAGTATTTCTGTGCAAGGAAAGAGTGTTATAACTTTTGATGCTAATGACAAATCCATTATATTTCGTGGTCCGATTGACCAAATGACTTCTTTCAATTAATTAGTCTTTATGTAAGGTATCGGTTGAAATGAAAAAGCTAGTGTCACGAGCGGGATTCGAACACACTCACGAAGTCACGATAGCTCAAGTGGTTAGAGCAACGGCTATTGAGCCGAAGGGCGTGGGTTCGAATCCCGCTCGTGACACTAGCTTTCTCATTTCAACCGATACGTTATTTAAAGATTAGCTAATGACAAAGTTCGAGCCTTCAAAAGAAAATTCCAGTTTTGAGATGAATCTGTTGAGAAGGAATAGGTGCAGTGTTTTCCAGGGTTAAATTATTTTTTTAAAGAAAACAAACAGGAGCTTGGGAACGTGCACGTTTATTGATTAAATATGTGAACACCTTTAAAATTTGGAGAGGTTATTTGTGCACTACTTCCCAACTGCTCGAGATACAAAGCTGCAAGATCATGAATGAACCATTTTCAGTTCAAGCCAAGCAGTCTATATTCAAGTGAATTTGAATATTTGATAGACATTACTTCAGAGGCCACCTTGAAATCTACTTTCGAGTCCCATACTTACCCCCATTTTTGGCTACGTCTGGGTAACAAAAAAGTTCAACTGCTCGTTGAAAAAGCAAAACGTATTCTTCCATTTGCCACAAAGTATCCATGGGAATCCGGATTTTCCATCTATACAGCAACTAAAACTAAATACCGAAGCTGTCTAGTTGCTGAACCCTACATCCGTCTCTAGCTATCTAGCTGGATCATAGCTAAATATTAAATCCAACATATCCAAATTGTGCAGGGTAAAACAACCTCACACTTCTCATTAATTCATAAATCAATGTTAAGTATGCCAATCTAATGTTTGTTTTCATAGTGTCACCTCATTAGGAATGGAGTGGCTAATTGATAAAACTTTAATCTATTACATACTATAAGTATCTAATTTTAAATACTTGAATGAAAGGGGTCCGCTGGTTAAAAAATTTGGGAAGCCCTAGACTAAGCTATTCCCACGAAGCCTTTTGATGATTGTTGCAGTGCTCATTTCGGACCGTCTGGAGTTGATATCTATCAAGAAAACCTCTAAATGACTGTTCCGTAGTGCGGGTAAGAGCAATAAATCTATTGTCTCCAACCGATGTACATCGTGGTCGTTTGCTTCCTGAAATAAAATTCAAAATACCCGAACGTAAAGGTACCTTGCTGTACTGCGCTAAAAGTCGGCCTAACCATCGGCCTTCCATCGTGGAGCATCGAACATTAGACCTGGCATAAAAGATTAACGGCGCCTGACACAAAATTCAAAAGCGTTTAGGCGACAATGTTCAATACAAAATAAAGGGGGAAAATCTATTGTTGCGTTTAAAAAAAATCTTTTATTCATACAATTTTCCATCAAGGTATAGAGTCTTCAATTATTTATTTTATAAAGACGCCATTTATCCTTTATAATAAAAGATTTTTCAATTTTGCTTCTTGTGTCACTTGCCAAAATTCGAATAGGCTTTTTGTCTCCTCTGTATAAAACCGTGTACTGGAATGGGTGCCAAATTGACCCAGATACTATGTAACCCCCCCCCAAAAAAAAAAATTAATTAAAAAAATTAGATTTGCTCCTGTGTCTGCAGGGTAATAAACCTATTGTTTTATAGTTCCTATCATCTTGGTCTGCCTATCTTCGCTGAAGTTTAGACGCGTTTCGGCATTCGCCAACTTCAATGTTTGGATGATTTCTGAAGAATGAAATTGTTACTAGGTCGAGGATGATGTGGGGGCTGAATAGGTATTAGTATTGTTTGTCGGTGAGTTCGATAAATTAAGATTTTTTTATTACTCTAGTTGGTCTTTTTTATATCTTCGGTCATTTTCCTTTTTAATTTGTGTAATATTTTAAATGATGTTTGTGAGTTATAGTTAATTTGCGTATTTATGATTTTTTTAGTATTGACCGTTTATATATTTCTAAGTTTTCGAGTATGTCTCTTTTCGTCCTTTTCGCGTGTTGTGTACTAGTTTCATAGTTGATTGTATTGTCGAAAGTTCGTGGTTGTTTTCTATTAGGTATTCGATATTATTAAGTACGTTCGATTTTCCCCAGTTGTCCCTAAATGATGTTCCTGTATCTGTCTTTTATTTTTCGTACTGTCTGTCCGATGCATTTGTCTCCACATTCGCTTGTTAGTGTATATATTCCGTTTTTTTTCTTTTTTTGTCTTGTCGATGTTTTATCTTAGCAATTTCCCTATTATGTATGAGGTTTTCAACACCGTTTTTCTGCCTAATTTGCTAAATAAGTTAGTTTGTACGTTCCTTTCCCAATGAATGTGAATATGGTCCATGTAGTGTTTGTTTTTGGTGCGTGTTCTGTTTATTATTTTGTTGATTGTGTTTGTTGCCGTTTTTGTGTGCTATGGTCTGTATTCTTTTTAATTCTTTTGTACAAGTCTTGAATTAGTGGAGTTTGTTTCAGTAAGTCATGTATTCCGTGCTAACATTTTGTGTCGTTGTGGGTGGCTTGAATGCCGGTTTCTTTCGGTTTTCTGTATATGTCAAATTATAGTTTATCGTCTGTTTTTGTGATTGTTAAGTCTAGGAAGTTAATAGGGTTTTTTGTTTCTATTTCTTCCGTGAATTTATGTTTTTTGTAATCGGTTCAGGTCTGTCAGTATGTTTTTATGCTGTTGTTGTTGTCGTCTACGTATCTATACATGTTTTGACGTAATTTCGAGGAAATGTTTCTCTTCAAAATTTTGTAATAATACTTCTGTGAGTGGCTGAATTTGGATTATCCATTCCTAGTCTGTCTTTTGTGTGTGAATTTGTTGTTTGATTTTAAAATAGATTTTTTGTGTCGGAGTTTGTATTATGTTTGTGAGTTGAGCGTTTTCTTTGTCACAGTTTTGGCGTAATGTCCAGCATTTCCTTTACTAGAATTAATGGGTGTAGTTATGTCAAATGATATTAGTTTGGTGTAGTTTTAATTTGTACGTCTTCTAAATAGCTCCGTTGAATATTTCAAACAGTGTGTATCGTTTAGTTTGAGGTGTGTTTTGAACTTTTGCTCTTTTGCTTAAGAATTTCATATTATTAAATTGTTAAAGTTTGATTAAGTACTAGTATAATTCACAGGTCAGTCGCACCAGGTTAAGTTCGTGTATTTTTATCCCTTAACAAAAACCACGGGTAATTTTGAACAATACATATTTGAAACTTGACTACCGGCACTCAGCAAGTAATAATTTCAACGTCGTGCCAACGAGAGTGAGTAAAGAAAAATTTAATGAAAATAAAAACCAAACCGTGCAGAAAGTAGGGTTCACTATTATGGTCTGATTCTATTTTGATAGCCGCCGGCACCAATTATTACAGACGGCAGGTAAAAATCTTTAAAACGGAACCGACTAAAGACAAATTAATAAGAAACAATTAAGACGATATGGGATAATTATTATTGTTTAAAGCATTTCGCCTTAGAATATCTGGGGCGTGAAACTGGATGCTAGGCTAAGCAGACGATTTCTTTTACTGTCGCTATGTCAATTTTAACTCCCTTTGTCCCCTTTCACTTGACAGTGGGAAAAATAATTTTATGTTTTGGAAACCGTGTGAAGCTTCAACTTGCCAACAACTTCTTTAGGCTAATATATAACGCATTTACGTATTAGTATCGGAAATTGTCCAACCACTGAAGATGGCGAAACACGTGAAGAACACACGACTAAAATACATGTAGAATACTGTGAACTAATTCACAATTGATACATTTTTTTTTACGGTTCAAAAACCCATTTTAAAAAAAGTATACAAAAGTGAGGAGAAAAAATATATACAATACAAGTCTTATAACTAACTCATCAATATAAAGAATAAAACTCTACACTATACATCAATGAAAAATTAAATAAAATCCTTATACATAAAACAACATAAAGATTTAATTTAACACCCTGTCTATATAATTATACCGACTAGGAATTATAAAAAAAAATATATATAAAAATAATAAAATAAAGCATTACAATACATACATAGTACATTTTTAGCTTTTTTTAAAACTAAATAAAATTATTATGCTTTAAGTAACTGACGTTTTAATGAGGAATCGGAAGTATTAAATAAATCAACAGCATTCCATATGTTGTTACATTCTATCATCATGCAATGCATGGAGGAGTGTAGTGAAAAATTTGTTCCTTTATATTCAGTGAAAAATATTTTCTGATTTCTAAGGTGGCAAGGATGTACATAAAATTGGAGTTTACCAAAGATTTCTGGAGAATTTACACTTTTTTTTTTTTTTATGAGGGTTCGCAACAGCAGAGGTCATATAAACCCTCAGGGTGCCGGTGTTTAAAAAAAAAGCCCATTTGTAAGTATGTCTGGTTCGAATACAGGGCCTCTAGATTCGAACCCGGGACCTTCACCTTATAGTGATGAGCGCCGTGTCAATGCCTAAACCGTTGCGGCCACCGACGCCCCAATTTATACAATTATTATTAATTTGAAAATAAAAATAATCTCAAAATATTTTCTTTTGCAGCTAAGATCAGCAATATTGAAGTATGATTTAATGGTATCATCAGAGGATTTATTGTTGTGACAGTTTAATTGGAAATATAATGCATGAATTTATTTGTACAGTTTGAACAAATTTTATATCAGTGTAGTAGTGCAGATTCCAGATGATTGAGGCATATTCAAGAGTAGATCGAACAAGTGAATTATATAGATGGACATAGCAAAAAGGATATTTGAACTGATAAGTACTTCAGATGATGAAGCCAGCATTTTAAAGGAGCAATTTTTGATTTCTTGTAAATGTAGCTTAAAGGTGAGATTATTATCAAAGATAACCCCAAGATCTCTAATACACTCTGGTTAACAAACTGCAATTAATGGTACAAGAGTGGAAAATAGGAGATTTTTTGCAGGAAAATGTGATAGTAAATCATTTAGAATTATTTAAAAGTAGTTTGTTAGTTTGACCCCTAGCTGGAAAGTTTATTGAGAGCATTTTGTCAATTAATGCAATCGAAGGTACAATAAATTTGGGTATATATATTTTAGGTCATCAGTGAGTAGAAGCAACTCGGTACCAGAAAGATCAAGGTGAATATCGTTAATGAAGAGGAGAAAGAGAAAAAGACCAAGATGGGAGCCTTGTGGCACACAAGAAAAGAGAAGAGATCCAAGGCTTGATTTTAACTATTTGAGTGTGTTCACATAAATAACTGTGCTGCGAAAGCTGAAGATTTCGCTTCTAGCTTTGTAATAAGTATTTTACAAGCAATTTTGTCGAAGGCCTTGGAAAAATCTACATATACAGAATCCACCTGACAACCATCGGCTATAGCATCCAAAATGTAATTTTGATATATTAGCAAATTAGTAACTCCAGTACAGAAGCCATGTTGTTAGGGAATAATAACATTTTTGATATCATGTTTTAACTTTTTGCAAACCAAAGATTCAAATATTTTGAAACACGGATTGGATGGAAATGGGCCTATAAATATATACACATATTTTGATAACCTCAATGGTTATTTAACAAATAACATGCATAATCAGATATCACTCTTAAACAGTGATGAAATACGACTAAAAAAGAAAATCTTAAATCTTTTAATACCTGGAGATACAAAATTTTGTGACTTTTTAAAAGTTTCCACAGTTATTCTTTTGTTGATTGAAGGTTGGTTTGTAACCAAGCAATACATGGTTTTTAGTACAATTTTTTTTTTTTAAAGAGGCGTCATAAGGCTTTACAACTAAGATGCCTTCACCTTCTTATTCAAAATGCATTCCAGATTTCAGAGTTGTTTCTAAAAATAGGCAATACAAATAAATGAATTTTATTATGGCTCATAGACAACTTCAATGTTGATGTTTGTTTTTCTTAAGATACCCTTTCGACAACTGGACCAAATAGGTCCTAAAATCCTATCATCTTGAAGCAAAGAGCAAAAAAATTGCTAGGATTGATTGGAAAGTAATTGATTCTCTACCACAGATAAAAACCATGCAGAGAACATTGCAAAATGTTTGTATAATTTTGCACAATCGCCCTCAGAATATTATATTACTAATCCAAAATAAAATTGAGATGTAATTTGGTCGTTATCATATATTTTCTCTCTCTCTGGGTTAAATGATCTGTAATAATCAAATTTCAATTTATTTAACCGTTTTGTTTTTGTTATTATTTTGGTTTAATTTGAACCCTGTTTGGCTCAGTTCGTAAAGAGCAGGTTAAATATGGGAAACAAGCCTTGTAAATCGAAGGCTGAAACGATCGGTAATGACCAAATTGTGTTTCCAAACATAATAGCCACACTAGTACCAGGCTGAAATCCATGCAGTTCCTTTCAACCTGAAAAAAGGGTACAAAAACAAGAACATAGCTAGCATGTCAGATAGCCAGGCAGCATCAGAGCTCAAACATCATTTGTTAGAAGGTGGTGCTGAATTGCAAAACTAAATTAAATAAATTAGGTATGCAAAATAAAGTTACTTTCTACTGGGTCCCAGGAGTAATCCAAAATGTTGTGGTAAAGGGAAATAAGAGAGCAAACACCCTTGCAATAAAAAGGGTTGTTAAACCATTTATAGGTCCTGAGCACTTAGCAGGCAAAGGGATGTTTTCCTACTATCAATGAGTATCATACAAAAAAGCAAAATGAAAACTAGTAAACTGTGGAATTTAATTTATTAGACGCAAACATTCCAAGAACCTTCTAGCAAGTGTTGGAAGGAAAGAAGCAGATAAATGCTTTGAAGGAAGTAGGAAAAACTTTGAATCCTAATAAGATTCTTGACAGGAACATATGAATACTTAACACATATATGGATTATTAAAAATAAAAATATAATATGTGGCATTTCAAATAAAACAAATTCAATTTTAGTACTGAAAAAGTTTAATTATAGTACATTTCATATAAAGTTTTCTATCTCCTCCGACCACAGCTTTTATTACAAATATACTCTTAGCACTTAGCAGTTAATTTTTTTTTATACACCCTTCCCCAAGCCATTCTAGGAGGAATTTTTGAGCAATAAACTGAATGATATGTGAATAATTGCCCATGTGGCTTGCAGGGGAAATTCAATACTTCTCATATTTAAAAGCAATTTATTGTAACAATATTATAAATATACAAATATTTCTAAGGCATTCAAACTAAAAATGGTGAGTCCAAAGCACCATAACCAGATGCCACTCCACCTTCAGTAGATGTAGCTAATTTAGTCCTCAGCATGTGGCCAGCTGGTTTTACTGCAACTATATCTGACGCAGACCTAACAAAAATGTTGTGATTATTGAATAATTAAATTCAATTGAAAAAAAACTTACCCAATGACATATGAAAAGATTCCGAGTTCTGATATAACATCAGAGACTGCGCAAGGCTGACCCCTTTGGATGATCATATTCTTAATTGGGACGGGCTTAATAAGCTTCATCAGGATCATCGACTGTCTCTCTTCTGGTGTCATGCTGTTTAACAAGTTTGGTATGTCTGATCCGTACGTGTTATTTCCACCTCCTTCTCTTTGAGGCTTTAAAACAAAATCTTCGGGGTTTTTTAAAGCGAGATTGTACGCCAAATCTCCACCAGCATCCTACAAAAAAAACCACTGATTTAACATTTAATTACTGGTTTCAACAAATTGAAAATCAAGTCATTACCAGGTCAAGGGAATAAATTTCAGTAAAGAGATTTCTTATGTTTTTAACATCCTCAGCATTTGTGATGAAACGTTCAACAGTTCCGGGAGTCGCCAATACTTGCTGTACCTAAAAGAATGGTGGATAAAATCTATGGAGCTTATCTAACTTCTCGATTATCTGGATATTTTAAATCGTATCTATGCATATTCTAAATAATGTAATATCTATGCATAACTTTGTTAGAATAAATGGCCTTATATTTATATTTAGTCTTATAAAAATGAATGTCAATTTAAAAATAAGAGTAGATTCTAAAATCATCCCTTGCTGTTTGAACTGTCAAATGTCAGACTGAAGCCCGACAAAACGTATCCGCATCAGAATAACAATTTGAGTAACATGAGTTTGTCGTAAATATTATATATCCTACTTTTTTAGTACCAGCTAATTGATACTGGACGCTTGGGCATTTAATTGCACTGGAACGTTCAATCAAAAGGCGCGTTTCCCAGTCGCCTTCATCCCTGTATTGATTAGGGGAATAACCAGTCCTCATATAAACAACTGCCACTTCCAAGTCATCTTTTCTGAAAGGCAACAAACCAGAAAATAATCACCAATACACAATTGATACAGATTGATACAAATTACCTACAGAAAAAGTTGTTTTTTTGGCCCTAGTTTGGCTGTGGACAATTCAGAGAATTTCCGCCTTATAACTCTTATCAGTGGCTGCTGTCTTCTAATTTCAAACTCCATGAACCTCTGATCACAAATATTGTAAGTAGTCTCTTCAACTAAGAACATGACAACAGCCCTAAACAACATAGCGTTGTTGAGAATTTAAACACGACTTACTGAATGGGCTTACGTTTTCTTATTGTAAATATCCCAAGCATGAACAATACCAGCACACACCCCTTCCAATGCAGGATTATCTGGTAACTAAACAAAATTTAGCAGAATATGAAATGAACGTGTAATTAAAAATGGCAATAAAATAAATATCTTACCTTTTCAGTGAGTGCATCTCTGCCTATTTCTCGTAACACATACCTGCACATTATTAGTAATTAATAACAATATTCTGCTAACATTTGAAATATTTATACTTCTACTGAAATATGTATACAAGAATGGGAGTGGTAAGTGGCTTCCATATCCTCATTCTAATGTTTTTATAACAACAAATAAAAACTTATCATTTTTGTTCACCACTGATACTTTCAGGCCAATTTTAAATATTTGTAATTGTCAAAAATTCCTTTTTAAATTTATCTCATTAATTCATGACAGTGATCAAAAATTATTGACCCAAAAGGCGCAATGTTGACTAGAATGGGGGAGATTTCTTCCTGTGATCAGTAGGGTGATAAACCTGTCGTTCAATAGTTATTTATCATCCTGGTATGCCCACCCTCGATGATTTTCGTTAATTCAGACGCAATTCGGCATTTTGCCATCTTCAGTGTTCAGGTGATATCAGTAAACTATCAAACAACTTTTTTTAATGCCCTGACTTTGAAGAATTGGGCAGAATTTAACAGAAAAATACAGATTAAGATTAAAAATTTTAGAGCAATATTAGTAAAAAATGATATCTTTGACATGACAATATTAACTTAAAACCATTTTCTGATTATGAATTTAAAAAAATGTTATTAATAGGTAAACTGTGCAAAATTGAATAGGGATATTTGTTGTTATGAGTAGGGATATTTATTCTTATTCTATTAATTTTAATTAAATTAACTAATATATTCTTGTTAGTTTGATAAAACAAAATCGAAAATGCCAAACAAGAGGAACTAAAAAGGATGCAATATTGGGACAAAGGTACAATTGCCGTTCTTAAAGAAATATCAGCTTCTAACTTCTGATTCAAGACGATGTCTTTCCATGGTTAAAAAGAATACAACTGGATTAAAATGGAGAAAAGACGAGAGAATATGTTTCTTTACAAAATGAGTAATCTTCATGTTTACTATTCTCAAGTAAATCCGTTATTAAAACTGAGGATTAACAAGTTTTTAGTTCTGGTTTTTATTTTCTATTTTGCTTTATCCAACTAACAAGAATATATCGCTTAATTTGATTAAAATTAATAGAATAAGAATAAATTACAAATATCCCTATTAATTTTTTGCACAGTTTACTGTAAATATGGAAGTGAATTGCCATCAGTTTGAGGCCACAAAGCAAAGCACCAAGCACCAAGCACCAGAAATGCAGTTCAAAATGGTTATAGTTTGTCATGCAATCAAGTATTTTATATCTATATTTTTATACCATGGTCATGGTTTCTAGAATTACATCATTCAATATTTTTCCATGTATATGTCATATCTAAAAGAGATTACAAGGACAAATTACATTATTATGTATTATTTACTACAAACGTGACAATTAAAATGGTCATGGTCAAATGTGCATGCCTGTAAACTAATTTTCAATGCACAGAGTGGGAAAAAAAAATCCTGACGATCTAAGGTAATTTTGTAAATTGTTAAATGTATTGTCATTAATTGAATAAATTACCTGTGTAGTTTGGCAACCTGTGAGCTGAGGCTGGCAAAACTTGATGCAATTGTATTGAATTCAACTTGTTTCATTCTATTTGCACTTTCGTCAAAGAGATAATCGGACCTGAAGATTCCTAGACTCAAGACCTACACCAAACCAAACAACTCTTGGAACATATTTTTGTATTGTTTAAAAAAAAAAAATGATTTGAAGTTTTAGAATCTGATGAGGAATTTTAACAAATTCTAACCTTCCTCAAGGTGATATGTACTATAGAAAATTAAAGCAATATCTCAGTTACCAATTTTCATTTTATCAGTTACCACAATGAGGTAAAATAAAAAGTATTATTTTTTGAAAATGCTGAGTATTTTTCCTTGTACAATTGTATGTACCTATTGGAGGTAAATTAATTATTTCACTTCCAACAATCAGAAAAAAAAAATGCCACTTTTTTATTATTTTTTAAACTTATCGGTTGGGTAAGAAGTAATGTTGTTTTTCAATTATAGGAAGAATTAGTTCGATATTTACATTTTTTGTCTATTTCGTTTGTCTATTTACAAATACATTTGTTTAATCCCTAAATTAAAAAGCTTTATTTCTCCTCAGATTCTGTTTTCCATTTATTTATTGTGTCAAATAATTTCTTTGGATGAAATGTATTTATGTCATGTTTACTTTATGAATTACAAAAAGTGATCAATGCACAACTGCTGCAACTGAAAATGTATGTGCTGTGCTTGATACTAATGCTGTGAATGGTCGTTAAGCCCAAGAGTGGTTTGAGCAATTTAGAGAAGGCAATATTGTTTTTGAAGATGATGCATTCTGAGGTTGATGACGACATACTGAGGGAATTTCCCTTTTTGATGAGAACTAGGAGAGATGTTAAATATTTCCCATACAATAAATGGAAACCCATCCAAAGTCTTGGGTTTGTTCAAAAGCTACATGGATCACACATAAACTTAGCGAAAGGAATTTAGCGGATCGCATCTCAATTTGCTCTTCACTCCTCGGTCGTCGTGCCACCCCGGTCAGTCAACACCATTAGTTGTTCCAAAACAACAATGCACGGAAGAAAAAAGTTTGTAGTGCATTTGGTGGGACATGTCTGGCCCCTTGCATTTGGAGCTTTTACTATAAGGCAAACAGTTAATAGTGAACTGTACTGTGAACAGCTAACCCATGTATATCTTCAAATAAAGCAAAAACGGCCTGCACTAGCAAACAGAGGTGTAGTTTTTTCCAAGTTGCTTTGAGGACCAAACAATTATTAATTAATCTGAATTGGGAAATTTTATCACACCCACCATACTCATAGGGCATTTCGCCTTGTGATTGCTATTTATTTTGGTCATTTAAAAAATTTTGTAATGACCAAAAATTTGAAAGTTTTGAAAGTGTTCACGGTTCAAACTTTCCTGGACTCAAATATGGGAAGTTTTATGCAAAAGTAATACACATGATACCTCAAAGATGGCAAAACGTAACTGCAAACAATGGTAAATATTAAAACAGTAAAAACCAATGCAGGCATAAAAAATATATTTTTAAAAAATTGTAAAAAGTCATTATTTTCTTGCCAACTCAATACATACACACAAAAAAATAAATAAATAAATAAAATAAAATAAATGAAGTGAAACCACAATGAGCCCAGATGTCCTATCTTTCTCAGTGCATTAATAAAAATCTATGTTTATAGGGTTTAGATTGTAAACACCATTTTGATGACAGTTTGTTTTTGGCTGTTTGCAACCTTTGCTTGGAAATTTGTGTTTAGCTTGAGAATTTGACATATCCTACCTTGAGATTGGAAGTTCAAATAAAAATGATTCCCGAAATTTTTAAATTAAATTTTTAACTGATTTAAGTGGTAGAATGAAATTAAATTAATCGTGAGAAAAAGAGAACAAAGGTTTTGTATTCTCAGTGGTTCAGCAATCCAAGGCAATTAATGTTCAAGCAAAATAATTGATTAAAAATAAAGTGTGATATTTAGCAAAGTCCACTCAAAATTCATTATCTAAGTTCACAGTCACATCTTGTGAAATAGTATCTATTATTCCGCACATTTCCATAAATCCTCAGTTATTACTTGACAAAACAAGCATTAATTGGATGTTAGTGAAATCACTTTATAAAGTAATTTTTCAGAAAACCTGTGAAGATCCCTGGAAACAGGGCCAAGCCATGCAAATCCTGAAGCAAATGTATTTATTTCAACTTGCTTGGGCCCTGATGGAGACATCATGACATCATTTCTGAGGACTGCCAGGCTTAATTCCTGCAATTATTTTTATACGATGAAGTATACATTTACAATCGAAATATTCTATGGCAGTAGGATGGTTCCAAGGTTATTTTTAATCTGCTGTTGTTCTTCACTATGGTGGAAATATATTTCTAGTTAGATAATATCTTGAAATTCCGCAAAAATATATTGGTAAAAACTTTGAAAGTTTCCTTGCATGCTTTCTTTAGTGTTTTAGACATAGCTTAATTACATTTGATGATATGCGAATTTACATAATGTGAAAATTTTTTTACACATCTTAAATTTAAAAGTCAACCCTTCCCAAATAAAATATTTTTTAAAATTATGTTATGTGGTTATAATTACAAATTTGTAAAGAGTACTTTAAATAATAAAAGGTGGCATACTAATTGGTAATTTTTTTAATCAAGCAATAAAATACTAAAGAGAATTACAAAAACAAAATGTATCTTAATAAAAACACTAAATGAAAAAAGAGATTTAAAATCAATTTTATTTCAAATACCTGTCCAAAGCCTTCATTGTAAACGGTAGTATACAGTTCAAAAAGTTTTTTTGTAAAGCTGTCATATTCGACTGTCCTGTAAAAAAAGCGATATGTTTAGCACTCACCAATCGTAGGAATATTTGTTACACTGACTTTCTCAAGGAACTCTCCAAGAAATCATGGTCGTGAGCGACACGATGCATCAGCTCACTCATCACTCTTTGCGTCATGACGACTTCTTGAAAATTCTCTTTTTTAATCAAAGACGGCAAAAGGGTGAATGGCGCAAACACAATAGAGTCCTCATCAAAGTTCTGTCTAGATCTCATACCAACACCTGCCAACATCAATTTTTTTGTTTATTTCCTCCCACCAGTAAACAACATAAACATCGTTATATAATAAAAAGAAGAAGAACAGATTGACTCTCATTGATCGAGCACTGATTTTTTAAGTTGTTGATGGGGTTTTTCCAATTAAATTTTTAGAAACCCAAATCATTTTTATTGTATTTTAATTGCTTTTCATGTAGCATTTACTGAATAATTTGCTAATTCTTTTCTAAACATTACGTTTAGACTATCAAAGCTTTCTTAAATTGGATGTTAGATTCTTTTTTAGTATTACTGATTACTGATTTATATAAACTCAAATCTGCACGTGTGTACAGAATTGAGACTATCACTTCTCACAGTCCACTGGCCATTCCAGGTTTTGTGGTTTAACATAAACAATAAATTACTGGCAGGCGATAAGAATCACCTACCCCCAGGTTTGGCAGTATGGGGTCAGACCTCAGTCTTATCTGTCCAGCCACTGAGATTGCGCGCCAGGGGTGTTAACAGATAAGTCATTTCAGCCCTGAACTCATCCGTTCCTAAATCCATTCATACTCTCGCTCATCCTAGGGATACAAAACTATCAGTACTACATATACAATAAAGCAACCCTGTCTCTTCCAAGATTCAAAATGGGGGGGGGCAAATATTTGCTGCTGTGCTCAAGTATAATTCTCATATCAGTTAGCATTCCTACGCGCTCTCTATAAAGAGCCAAGTTATTGAGAGAGCGAGTGAGAAAACTTTATTCAGGGACTAGAGTACCCTAAATAAAAATAAAGACACAATTTTTTTAATAAATCTGGCAATTGAATTAATAAAGGTTTAACTAACATATAGTGAAATGTAATAAAGAACATAATGCAAAATATAAAAATTAGAAATTATAGTACAAATAATAAATTTAGGAAGAAATAGAAATAATAAAGAATACATTGTCTTGTGCGATTATAATCACAAACTGCAAACTTAAAAGTTGAGAAAAGGAAGAAAACAAGCTTTCTTATGTAGTAAAAGGATCTTACGAATTGAACCTTTGAAGGTGGAATACAATGAGAAACCTTTCTTCACATGCCAGACACATAAGTGGGGCTTTAACCCAAAAGTAAGATCGTCTGTCAGCCTCGCATGGCCTATTGTTAATCCAGTAAGGATGAACTTTCTTCTACAGATCAGATCCTCTGAGAGCCACCTATCGACAGTGCTCTTGACAAGTGAGAGCTTCTATGCTAATCCAGCCCACCGACGAGACCACTTTCTTTTAATAAGGTTTTTTATTGTATTTTTAGCATCAGAGGGTCGGATCGTGATGGTTAAGTGTGGAGGTTGGGATGTCCCGACTTTACCCGAGTCGTCTGCCTTTTAATTACGCTCCAGACCCTCCGGGTATCCAGACTACTACTTTGCCGAGATACTCCAACGACCTGACACAGATAGCAAAGGCTGCAGACAAGGTAAGCAGTCACCCACAAGAGGGGAAAAAAACAGTGAGCTGTTTGAGGAAAAACACTTGTTAAACGCCCAAATTAGACTTTTATGTAATAAGCAAATATAAATTAAATTTCCATCAAGACATAGCCTTGTCTTCTTCTTTGAATTAAACAATACCAGACTATTTTTGAAGATTATTACCCAATGGGGCCGAATTCTCATCAAATCAAATTTTATTCAAGTAAATTTAAATTAACACAAGATTACAAAATAAATAGGTAAAATAATACCGTGCATGACAGCCCAGTCTTTTGCTTTATCAATAATTTCCTTTTCATCCTTCAGCGGCAATTGGATTGCGGACTTCATGTTAGGCGGAGGTTGGAGAAAGAGCGAAGCCTGGCACACCCAAAAATATCAACACGCGTTTTATCAACAGCAACAACAACACAATGACAAAAATAAAGACAATCGATCCGGTCCGAGTCGATATCAATGCAATCCATCGTTAAACAAATTCTTCGTCTTCCGTTTGATGGTCATGATTAGATAGATTGTTGGATTATTGGTTTTCTTTAAGAATTTTCCACAGACGATAAATATAGTACCAAGACGAGACAAAAGAAACAAATTTACGATTGTTTTTATTTCTTTCTAGACAACAACTTACAACTCAGTGGTATTACATTAACTAACTAGTGCAATGTTGGAGCAAGTCTATAATCGGAATCATGTAATATGATTTATGAACGTGGGAAAACTAAATACGAATAGCAATTCGATGGCAGGCAAACTGTAACATTGTTAATAATAAACAACGGTATTGTTTCCTCGTGCAATTATGGGCCATTTTGTAGTCACATCTTGGCTCACTATAGATAGGTCAATAGGTACAACATGGGACCACATGGCTTCAAACAGAAATTGACTTTGGACCGCTATGACTGTAATGTACAACGATGTGCCGATGATATAGTAGTTCTACTTCTGAGAAATGGAAAACCCCCGCTGTACTTCTGTTAAATCTACGCACATCCATCGTTACACTATGAATAAAACTCAAGTTCAAGTTAAAACTTTCGTCTTGCATTGTTTCAGCTCCAGTTCTGTATGCTTCAGCCAAAATGCCACTAAGAACTATCAAAACTAGGCGGTCTAAGATTTTATTTATTTTCTGAGCGTCCTGAACGCACATCCACAGCTTTGGATGAGTCTGTAAAATGTAGTTGACCGTATGAGGGAACTTCACCCTCACGTGGCAACAAATCCAATATGACTCGGTGAATCTGTCCTGTATTTTAAAACAGTGAGGCCCTACTCCTGGAATTTCTTTCCTTATGAAAGAAAATAGGCATGTACCATTGCGCTGTTGTTATATCGTTCATAATATTACGCATATCGTTCATAATATTTGGACAATTAAGGAATAGCTATTTTAACTACAAACTGGAAGTGAAATAAGGCCATTGTGGCAGTTGTAGTTACAGTACTTGTCAGTACTAGGGATACACAAGGCCTTCTTCACCTCGACCTGAATAGATCTATTATACTCCCCCGGTTTTTATAACTGACTGGCCAGCTTCAAGTTGTTAATCAGTCTCCATAGCCTTGCCAGAGGCTCCTTAGTATAGGATCTTGCGGCTTTTCTTCTCCTAGTTGAAAGAATCTACACCTACATAGACCTTCAAAGAAACATAAACGATCTCCTCCTCTTCCTAGCAGTATCTGCACAGTGTTTCCTCTGACTGTACTCCTATCCGGTGCATGTACTTTCTTAAGTGGCACTGTCCAGTCAGGAGTCGAACCAGAATCCTGGTTTGGTTGCGGCTGCCTTCCAGTAATTCTTTTGTAAGTTTTGCAGATGGACATTTTATGAATCTCTTCGCGTGCCTCATGCCTGTGGTATTTGTTCCACCAAGTTTTGGACTCATTAATGATCCATTTTAAGATAATCTTCTTTTGTGGCAGGATGCTAAGTCACAGTAGGGTTCAGGACCCAGAGAGTTCGTATTGGCCCTCATGTCAACCTTTCCGTTCCCTCTATGCCCCGAGTGCCCAGGGACCCATGGCAGGGTCAGGTGTCACTGACTTCCGTCAGGGCCTCCATGGAGTTCTTAACACTCTTTGCCTTCACCTCACATGAGGCTGGGGAATTTAGTGCCGCTTGACTGTCCGAGAAAATAGCTATTTCCTGGACTCTATTCATAATCTTTTTATTTCCCTGGCGCAGTGTTCAATCGTTATGATTTCAGGTTGGAAAACTAGCATATTTACCTAGGTTTACCGCCAGTCTGTTGTTTTTTTTATTATTGCAAAAAAATTAATACAACAATAAAAAAATATAACACAACAATATTAGTAGTGAAAATAATTGTTTTTAAGTACTGAAAAATACTGTAACAGTAACTGCAATGCGAGTAGAAGTGGACAACAGCCGACCGAATGACTTACGAAGTTTGAATTCCAGCGCCAGCCCCCACCACTCTCCAATCATCATATTTTATTTACTTATTTATTGTCTTAACAATAAATAATTTATACTTTTGATAATTTTCCGAATAAATTTGAGTTCAAGGCTTTCGTTTAAACCATTAAAAATGCAAATCCGTGGAGCGGTTTGGCCGAAATTTTGATCGGCGTTTCGGGCATTTGCAATTAAATATAAGTCAATATAATTTTGAAGAGAATCTTATCCAATAACTGTATCTTTTTTAACTTGAAATAAGATTGTAGGCTTGTAAGTGTACTGAAAAAAAAGAACCTTTAATTTGACGATGATATAAAAATTTCAATTTTTCACTTGAATTTTCGGTTATTTGGCTTGTATATATAAATTTTAAACAGTATTTAAAAAAATATTTGTTGTGTTTTCATTAAATGGAAATTTTCTATTTGGTTGGAATGTTGGATCGGGCGGAGAGAACCGGGAATCGATTATCGTGTTTGTTATTGTTTAACCTTTCTGTTTAGAGTTAACCTACTCTTTACCAGTCTTGTGTCTTTACTCGTGAGTTCTGTGAAGAAGAGATGTTTTTTGAATCAGGACGGCCTCAAATTTAAGTTTTTTGTTTTCTTTTTTGTGAAGAGGGTCGGGGAGAAGTGAATTTCGTTTAGTGCCGGGATGGCGAGCGCTTTGTCCAGTCTCACTAACACGTACACGGATTCGGAGGGTGAAGAAGGCCCGAGCGAGGAACTGCCGAGGAGGGACGCGAGCAGCAGCCCGTTGGATGATGGCGTCCACCAGCAACAGACGCAGCCGGCGACGACCGCCCGGCCGCCGAGGGGGCGGATGCACCTGGTCTCGTATGGCGACGACACCGTCCTTTCTGACGACGAGGGCGACAAGAACAACTCGGGTTCCAGCGTCGTCATTCTGATGCCGCCGAGGCCCGCGACACCCGCTTTCCCGAGCCAACGTTCGCCGTCGGAAGCCGCACCCGCCGCCGCCTCCGCCTCCACCGCAGCCCCTTCCAACGAGAACGGGGCGCTCGCCTCCGCAGCGGAACCCAGCCCCAACGGGCAGGTCGAGCCCAAGCCCGAGCCTCTGCCCGTCTTCACCGACGTCGAGATGCCGCCCGAGCCCGTCGGCAGCTGCACCTTCGAACTCCAACAAAAGATCTACGACCTGACGGACAAGATGCAGACTCGCAACGTTGACATGAACACCATAATCCAACAGAGGAAGGCGTTCAGGAACCCGAGCATTTACGAAAAGCTGATTCAGTTCTGTAACATAAATGAGTTCGGGACCAACTACGAGCCGAGCATCTATGATCCGCTTAAATGGGGCAAGGACTCGTACTTCGACGAACTTGCCAAGATCCAGAAACAGGACATGGACCAGAGGGAGAAAGACCGTAGGGAAAAGACCACAAAAAGGCTCCAACAAGTCCAAGTGGAGTTTGTCGTCGGCACCAAGCGAAGTACAAACGGGAGCGGGGCCGTTACCGAAGAAGAAGTGAAAAAGAGGAAGTCGAAATGGGACCAAGTCGGCACTCTGGCATCACACGGTGTAAAGCCGCCTGTCACCACAGGAATTGCCAATTTGACTACGTCCGTCACTGGCACCAAGGGTACCGTCATCTCTGCATTTGGCTCGCTCCCTAAAAAACCTAAAATCTAAAATGTAACTGTCAAATTTTCTTATATAATAATTATTTTAGTTTTAAATATGTACAAATATATATATTTTTTTTTATAACAATGTGCGTTGTCTGTGATTTATTTCTATAAAACAAATTAAAACGTATATGAAAGAACCATTTATCAATTGGTTTAATTGGTAAATTATTCTTCTATTCTTTCTATTGTAATGAATTTCAAAACAAATATTTTTATTTAAAACAATGTGCGTTCAATTCGACGTATTTTCTTGCAAAATTTTATTGCATTGTCAATCAATTTTCTACCATGTTGTAATACCATTAATATTATTTCAGAAATGTTTTGTGTTTTACATTGCACATTTTTGTAGAGCATATATTTTATTTTTAATTAGTATAAAATTGTATATACGTGCTATGTATCATCTGCTGTGTAGCAAGGTGTTAGCCTTTATTGTTCAGGTCAAATAATTAAAATGCATTTCATGTTAAAATATACAAAATTTAGAACCAGTTCAAAGGGAAGTTTAAACAAATACAGTTTGTTATGTGATTATGTAGCTTTTTATGTTTTCTAATAATTTTTTTTTACATCTGTATTTTTAAACATTCAAAATTAAGCCTAGCTGAATAATCAAATCAAGAGAAAATATACATATTTAAATGAAACGACAAACAAATTTAAACTTATCAAGAAAGACAAATTGGATTGACAACACAACTTAAAATGCATTTTTTGTTTGATCTTTGAGTGATAACTTTGTCTATATAAATATGTAAATATTTTGTTTATTTAAATGGGGGTAAAAAGTAGACATTAAATTAATAATACAAGTTTATTAATATGTTACAAATTTATAATCAAATCGATAATCAACACATGATCATCATTTAATAAATAATAAATTAAAACAATGAAAGAACAAGACTTTTTATATATGATCCTGGGCTCTGTTATATTGCAATAAAACAATTTACAAATTCCTGTACTTTTAAACATAAACGGTTTAACCATTTAAATAATAGTCATGTAAAATGCTTAAAATAAATTAACATTTGCTACAATATTGTGGGGAAAAGTGTAAAAATTTCTAACATATAACAAGACGGAATATAAAAACAATAAAAAATGAAAAGATAAATATCTTAGCAAAATGAGCGTTAGAAATATTATTTGTAAACTTAATATCACATTGTTTTAGTGTACGTTTGGAGGATCACCCTGCCAAACGACTACCAAATTAAAGTTGAAAAAGTTAGAAAGTTTTTCAAAACAATTTTTATTATAAAATAAATTAGTCTGAGAGAGGACTTTCTAACAAATGTCCTCGATGGGCTAGTAAATTATGCTTAATTAAATTGTTGGCTTTATTAAAGCTTTTACCACAGGATTGGCAGTGGAAGTCTTTAACTTTATGCTCTTCCATGTGGTAAAGGTAACTATGTTTGTTCAGAAACTCCAATCCGCAGTGCAAACAGGGTACTGGGTCTTTATTGATATGAGTAATCCTGCAATTAGGTAAATCATGAAAGACAGTTTTTTTTTTTTTTTTTTTTGGTGTAACAAGATATTTTGCATATAAACTTCACCTGTGAGACGTGACGTAGCTTTTAACGGCAAATGATTTAAAGCAGATGTCACATTTGTACGGCCGTTCTCCCGTATGCTTCCTCATGTGTATATTAAGGCTGCTTTTCTGGGTAAAGAGTTTTTCGCAGCATTCGCATTTGAACGGTTTTTCGCCCGTGTGCGTCCGGATGTGAGCTGTCAAGTAAGGCTTCCAGCAGAAGGCGGCGTCGCATTCGCTACATTTGTAAGGTTTGTTGTTCGAATGCTTCTTCATGTGCACGTAGTAGGATGAGTTCGAGGCGAGGGCCTTCCCGCAGACTTCGCAGATCTTTCCCTTCTTACATGAACCAACGTCGAGTTGTAGAGTGCCATCGCAAAAGAGTATCGGGTTGACCTACAAAACATACTAAGTTTAAAATATTTCTTTCCTTTGCTGGACACTCCCAAAATATTTTTAAAGGGAGTGAATAGTTCAAAAGGACAACCCAACTTGCTTCATTTGCTCTCCCTCTATATCTTTGTCTCAATTTAGTTTTTTGTAAAAAAAATTTTCAATTTTTATGCACTATTAAGCAGTATAATATTTACTTAAAAACTATTTTTTCACGTAGTTGAGAACTCGCTAATGAAGAATTGAAAGAACTCATTAAATCGACCCCAGAGGGGGATGAAATAGAAGAAAAACAGGAATGAGCAATAGAAAATTTTGAAAAAATTGGAAAAAACTTTCGACTAGTTTAAAAGTCAAGAAAAATCATAGAATATGAATCAATAGTGGAACGAAGTATCAACATAACATGACTGCTAACTCAAGCCATGGACCCTCTTCAACAAAATTTCCAGCAGGTGAAAATCCAGACAAAGCGGCCACCTATAACGTTTTTTGACAAAGCTGAGATTCATCACCATCTATTCTATTTTGTATTATTAAATTTATCTTTTAAAATTTTTTTTAAATTGGTTTAGGCCCCTAATAATTTTTTCTCATTTGTTTCAATGTCTGCATAAGTGCATACCTGCTATGTATGTACTTATTGTCTTTTTACGCAGAATAAACTTAATGTGTGTTACAGTACATTGCATTTTTCTTATTAAAAAAAGAAAAAAACCCCTGAAATATGTTATAAGTTCATACATAACATTGGCAAAAGGCACATGAACTACATGTCTAATTGGTATGCAGGTAGAAAAAAATGCTTTGAAGCCTTCGAGGTACTTCCTATTCGCCACAGTGATGCTTGGTACATAACCTCGTGGATGAGAGTCTACTAGTATGCATAAAATTTATATCGGTACCATTGGTGGTAGCATTTTAAAGTAGCTCACGGGTGTTCTGACCACATGCTCATAATAATTCAGTTGATGTAGTAGAGCCTTTGTCACTTTTAATGCAAGAATCTCCATTTCTCAAAACGATAGCAGTTTTCAACAAGATTTGGAAAAATTGATGATAATTGAATCAAATTACCTACCATTAAATACCCAAAAATTATCTAATTTTAACAATGTCAGTTATGTGAAATGTGCTCATATTCATAATAATGTGAATGTAAATTTTTCAAATAATAATTAGGGTAATTCAATGGTTCAATTACAAGTGTTTGAAAAATAGAAATCGTGTATATGCTCTTTTAAATTTTTATAGTATTGCGATAAAAATTTAAAAGCAAGGCACAAACCAGGTTAAATTATTGCAGATGTTTATCTCACAAAATGACAAAGACAAAAGATTCAAAAGTATTTGGGCAACTTGCGTATGAACATAAATTAACAAAATTTGCGCAGAGGGGCAGCAATCTCAGGCAAAAGTGGGAGGAATATTTCTTGGGAGTCTTAAACCTTCCAATCATTGCCTTTCAAATCGTTTATGTACCACGATTAACAGTAATAACGAACTAGAACTTGCATCAGTTTCTTCTGGAAAAATGGCAGGAATGGATGGAAACTCTTACAAATGTTTTAAAGAGACTCTCTTATCTCCACTTGGCCACTTTTCCAAAAGGAATGGTTTATCTAACTGCTAGATTTCTATTGATTGTGGTACATACACTAATTTGTTGGTAGGGGCAGAGATTGGCAGTTTTAACAGTCAAAATAATTTCAGAAATAAAATGTTAGTATGTGGTCTATGTGGTCAGGGTTTTTTATATATATATATTTTTTTAAATAGAATGAAACAACCAGTTTTTTGGATAACATATATATACATATTTCAGGACTCCCAAGTCCCCTCATCAGCAGCAACTGATGAGGAGACTTGGGAGTCCTGAAATATTTATGTGTGATCCAAAAACTTGGACCAGTTAGTTTTAGTAGTTAATTGATTTTTATTGTTTAACAAAAAGAGATTGTAACTGGGTGGAAAATTATAGGGGTCTAATACTACATCTAAAACCAGACAACATCTCACTATCTCCAAATAAACATTAACTAACGGTCACTAAACACCACGCATTACTATAGCTAAACGTTTTGTTAGTTTTATCTGTGAGAGACTGAAAAACTAGCCGGAGTATGAAAATATTCTTTACAGTACCAGTTGATATCGGTTAATTTATTAAACATTGTGAAAATTAAAACTCTCAAGAAATGTAGCAAATTATACAGCTTATTACTATTTTTTTTTATTGATTTTAAATCTGCTTTTGAATCCCCAGTAAGAATGCCATATACTATAAATTGAGTACATTAGGTTTATCAACTAAAATAACTGAAATAATAATAATAATAATGCAAGCCCTGGAAATATTGAATTGGCTATATGGGTTAGCTAAAAACTGAAATACTATTTTTTTAAACAAAAAAATGATGTAAAACAATGCTATGTTTTGTTCCCACTTCTTTTCTCATTATTTGTTATTATTATATTACTGCCGTATACTATAAATTGAATATATTAGGTTTTTCAACTAAAATAATTAAAATAATAATAATAAATAATAAAAACCCTGAAAATATTGAATTGATAACATGTGTTAGCTTAAAACTAAAATACTATTAAAAAAAGAAGATGTAAAACAAGGCCCCATTTCTTTTCTCATTATTCGTTCATAATTTTCATGCTTATGTAGAAGGTGGTAAATGGATAGGAATAGAAAATGTAATGATGTATGCAGATGAAATTGTGATTTTTCCTGAGAATCCACTTACCGATTTTTTTAAATACTCAAGTTACAAACTGAACAAATTACTTCTTTTGGTAAAAATTTATTCTGAATGTTAATTTTTACACGCTCATACATACCGTAAGGAGTGAAAATAGGTGCTACAGATTTAAAGCTTTTTTGATGGGGGTTTTCCAATTAACTTTTTAGATACCTAAATCATTTTTATTATATTTAGTTTTCCTCAGGTTGATTTTGATGTAATATTTACTGAATAATTTGCTATTCTTGCTAAACATTACATTTAGACTATCAAAACTTTTTGGGGGGCTGGCCCTTTTATTCACGCCACCCTTCCCCAACTATATATGTTGAAATAATCAATTGAATCATCCACCGGCTCATAAGGCCATTAAAAAAGCCCAAATTGGCACACACGTGAACAGAGTTGGTTTATCACTTCTCACAGTCTACCGGCAAGTCCAGTTTTTGTGTAATTTTCAATAAATTATCGGTAGGCCTCGAGAATCACACATTCCGAGTGTTGGCAGGTCAGAGCTCTGGTCTCTCAATCCAAACCCATTCACTCTCTCTTCAATTCATTATTTTCTATTTATTGATCATTAATCCAGGGTGGTGGAGTATTTGATATTCATCACCCTCTAACCTCTTAATTTCTAATCTAATTGAGCCCTCTCGCACTATATTCACACTAATAAATCTCTGTAGACCTTGAGAATCATCCACGCCGGGTATTGGCAGTCCAGAGTCAGACCCGGTCTTATCTGCCCAGCTGCTGAGGCTTCAGGGACTATCATAAGCTAGGTAATATCAGTCCCCAACGCAATCAGTTCCTAAGTTCAAACCCACTCACATTCTCTTAAATACATTCTGAGTACTCAATATACCTCCATCACAACACTAATTGTATAACTAACCTAACTGAGAGTTGATGGGGTACTCAATATACACTACACATCACCCTCAAGATACATTAGGGCCACTGCTATCTCACACACCAAACTATCAGTACTGTAACAGTAAACCACTCTGTTTACTCCAAGAATCGCAACAGGAGACCCAAGAGGATTGGTAGACGCAATGGTTAAGGTGTTGACATGGCGCTCATCACTTTAAGGCAAAGGTTCCGGGTTTGGGTTCATTGGATCTCTATTCAAACCTGACATACTTACAAATAGGCTTTTTCTCAAAAACACTAGCACCCCGGGGTTGATACGACCTCTGCTGTTGGAAAGCCCCATAAGAAAAACAAATTGGTCACACTAATAGATACATTAATTTTATATATATATAAAACACAAGCTATATCTATAAAGTACTGTAAACAGTAAAGGAATCTTGTCTAAAATGTCTAAAAATCGAAACAGGGACCCAAATACTTATAATTCTCATATCGAGTGACATTCCTACATGCCCTCTATACGGAGCCAAGCAATTGCACACTTCGTACACGAGCTTTGGCCCAAAAGTAAGTGACTGCCTTTTGTAGTATCTGTTTAATTTTGATAATCTTTACCGCTAAAAGTACAGCTTGGTGTAAAGGAATAAAAAGGAAGGAAAATTTTATTTTGTGATTATTACTTTTTTATGCTGATAGGCAATATCAAATAAACTGCCCTGCCAGTCTGTATAAAAATCCCAAACGAACAACATTGAATTTGGTAGGTTGTATACTGACATTTGACTGTTCCTTATAATTTATGAAGAGTAAATCTGGAATATTTGAATGTTTGTTTAGTAGGTAAATTGTGACAAAAATAAAATAAAATAAAGGTATGTGACATGCAAACAATAGATATAGTTGAAATAACAAACGGATATATTATTTAGAAGTTTAAACCTCAGAATTTTCTATTTCGGTTTCTTCTTCCATTTCTGATCAGTTTATAGACCAAACTTTATAACCTGGCGTTCTTCTACTTCTGGAAGATACCTCGCTTGGTACGATAGACACAACGGCTTTCATTTATGTTTCAAATCATAACAATTTTTTAGAAACATTTATAACATTAGATTAGAAACAAAACGATATTTTTCAATAGAGCTGATATCAGCGGATTCGCGTTCGGCCAGCGGAACAAAACAAAGTTTTTGTAGTAAACAGAACAATGTCGTCATTGCCAAGGATCGTCATCGCTTTCTATACTAAAAGTGCCTTTTTGGACCAAAGACGTATCCAAAAGAAATACACCAATTTATTTATTTACTTAAACATACGGATTAATATTAGTTTAAGTTTTAAGGCTGGCAAACTTCATTGGCCATCACCAGCCCTCTCTTCCTTAGCTTTGATTTCCTTTAATTTTTAATCCTACCAATTTCATTTTCTGTTTTTCCAGCTAAGTTGCGATATTTTATGATACATCGGTAACCAAATCTTTCTTTTGTTAGCCTCAGACCTGTCTGTCTGGTTGGGATGCACACTACCTCAGAGTAACCGTTATTCCTCGGGGTAATTGGTGATAAAGCCTTACAATTCACTCTAATAAATTACATTCACACTTCTCCAGAGTACTCGGTCATCAAGGTAATTGGGGATAAATCCTGCCATTCACGCTGATAAATTACATTCACGCATTCATTCACACTACCCCAGAGTATTCGATATTCCTCAAGGTAATTGGGGATATGCCCTTCTATTCACGCTACTAAATTACATTCCCACATTCATTCACACTACCCCAGAGGACTTGATATTCCTCGGGGTAATTGGTCATATGCCCTTCCATTCACGCTAATAAATACTGATTATTTGAAGATCTGTGTGACATATGTTTAGAAAAACGTTTTTTTTAATCGTGTCAACGTTTCGATCTTTATTGAGATCATCTTGATCATAATGTGTACAATGTTTATCAATCCCAAGCCCTGAAGATAAGTGACTTAACATCACATAATTCTTGAATGTTGAATCTATTTTACTATGCAATAAGGAGGGTTACGTTCCTTGACGCCAAAAATTAAGATACAATTTAGAACTAAAAAACAGTTTATTCGAAATAAATGTAATAGTTGACATACCAGTGTTTAAACATGTTAATTGTTTTCATTGTTAGTATTTTTTGATGTGCAAGGGAAAAATAATTATTAACTGTTCGCTGTTTCGCCGAATAATTAATTTCTTTAAGAATTTCCACATAAGGATTTGAAGCGGCTTAGACATCCCTTTTAAACTTAAAACTTCGATTTAAAGATGGGTCGAAATCCATTGCTTGGTACACACATAAGTTAGTTCTTCAAGGTTAAAATTTCCCTGAGCTTGAGTTTTGAAGAAAAGCTTTGGCCTGCATAAAAAATGTAACATGTAAAAATTTTATTCTTTATAAAAAAATTCTACACATCGTTTTTCGTACTAACGCAATACTTTCTCTCCTTCAAATGGAAAAACTGAAAAAAAAAATTTAGTTTAAAAGTTTCAATAGTTTATTTACAAAAAGGAACTTAATTTTCACAAATTTCCGAAATTTTTTACTGTCATAGTTTGCAATGTAAATTTTAGTCACCAACATTAACGAAAAAAAATTAAATTAAAAAATTAATAAACAACTTAGAGGTCATCACATCGAGTAAGAAGATTAATGGAGAAATCAGAAAATTTGCTATTTTAAAAATTATAGAATAATTTGAAAACTAGGGGTATATATGATTATTTATTTTATACAAAACGTAACATCATAAACATATTGCAATAGGATAAACAAATTAATCAAATGTTTTTGTTTCTTATTAACCACTGGCGTTAAATTAAATTAGATTCGGGCCATTATTTCCAAGTACACTAAAAAGAATGAAAATAAAATAATGGTTTACTAGTTAACTACCTAATTTGAAATTTTTATTAAGCTATTGAATTAATTATTTTCTCGCGTTACTTCACTATTACTTTTTGGTAACAATGTAAAATTTACGGAATAAGACGTGTGATGGTCGCACCATATTTTTATAATAATACAAACAATTTTGAGGACTTTTGCTTTTTACCGAGGGTTCGCAACAGCAGCGGTCATACAACCCTCAGAGTGCCGGTGTTTTTGAAAAAAAAAGCCCATTTGTAAGTATGTAGGGTTCGAATCCAGCGGCCCTGCATTCGAACCCGGGAACTTTTACCTTAGAGTGATGAGAGCCGTGTTAAACCGTTGCGGCCACCGACGCCCCTTCTCTGTTATTGTTGGCATATTTGGTAACAAAAAATTATGAAAGCCTACGGTTTCATTTTATTATACAAAAGAAATTAATTTGAGGTGTTAAACGAAAGAAATTAGGTTTGAAAGTACCGTATTTGAGAAAAATCCTGATTCAAAATGGGATTTTTCGAAATTATGATCTTTTAAAATACTGCTTGGATTTGAGCTAACCCGGGCTTAAAAGTTACAGGAAGAATTCAGCTTAAAAACGGTACTAAAAATGTGAAAATCCAATCGCGAGGGGCGAAGCTAGGAGGGTTGTTAAACAAACCGAGCTGGTTGATGTGCGGGAGAAAACGCAAAAATTGCAAAAATTTTGAAAGTTTTTTTTGGAACGCAACTACCAAGGGTCATGATTATCCCAATGACTATTAACCCACGCAGACGGCCGACCCAAACCCGCAGGACGCGGGATATATTCTAATATATTTACTTCTTTTCTTTATTTATCCCCTTATTTATTTTCCCCTTTTCCTTACCTCCTTCGTCCTTTTAATACATTTTATTAGTCAAAAAAGTGAAAAAGAGAAGGAGAAACAAAATCAGATTCTTTATCACCCTGCCAAATTTGAATGTAATGCGATCAAAAATGCAACCGCTAGAGGGCTCTAGATTTTTGAAAGAAATCTACCTAAAATTAAACATTAATTTACAGGTTTCTTGATATCAAATCGAGTGATCGAAGTATCGAACCGGGGGACAACAAAGCCTAAGCAGGACGGTTAAGGGGAAACTGATTTAATTTAAGGAACGTTTATCGGAGGTATCAGATCAAGTTTATATAATCATGAAAAATTCTTCGCTTAATTAAGGCTAAACTAAGACATATTACATATAACAGATAATCTTCACTTGGCTCCAGGGAGGGTAATTCCCCTTTTACACCTTGGATCCGCCACTGCCACGGAATTGGCACAGGTTGAACTTCTCTGACGTCATAGGTTGAGAAGGTCGGGGGGTTGTGCGGGTCGGGCCGTGTCTGTGCGAATGTTGGAAGGTTCCGCGAGAACGTGATAATACTGGCTGACATACGTTTTTGGTGGGGCGGCCGAAGAAGCAAGGACGAAGAATTGGTGGGAGTCGCGAGATCTTCTGGCTCTTCGACGAGGTCGATCGCAGTTCGCGGTGCGGTCTTGGCAATTGTAGTTGGTCTGAATGGATTTCGAGAAAGGGTTGCCGTTGTACGTGAGCGGGAAGGTGACGACCGGCTTCGGCCGGGGCTCCAAGGAGCTCGGCATCCCGACGGCCAACTACTCGGACGAGGTGGTGAGGAGTCTGCCGACCGACCTCGAGACAGGGGTCTACGGCGGTTGGGCCCAGGTCGACGGCGGCCACGTCCACAAAATGGTCATGAGCGTCGGTTGGAACCTCTTCTACAACAACAAAGAGAAAACAATGGAAATCCACATCCTACACCCATTCGATAAGCCTTTCTACGGGGCCGAGATGAAAGTCTGCGTCGTCAACTACATCAGGCCGATGACCGACTTTTCATCCGTCGACGAACTCATCGCTGCCATCAAAACCGACATTCAAACAGCCCAACGTGAGCTAGACCTCCCACAATATTCAAAATACAAAAACGATCCTTACTTCTCATGAAAAGTGTTACTCAATTTCGACTTATTTACTTAACCAAAATTTAGCAATGTGATAAACATACAAGTTGTCATTTTTAACTTATTACCAATTTCGTTTTTTTTTTAAACAAAACAAAACCCAAGTTGTTTTATATTTTCCCTTCCAACTACAGTATTATATTGGAGCAGAGGAAACAGTTGAAGTCGGATATTTCTTCTGTCAGATTATCAGTTCGACTCCTTCGTTGTTATTGCTGTGCCATAAAAGTAAAAAGATTCTTCTTTGCACATACCCTTTTTCATTGAACGACGATTATGTAAATAATGTAGATGTGGATGGTATACTGCACCCTTTGTGAGCTATTGTATATTCACCAAGGAACTTAGCCAGAAACACACTTACCCGACGCAAATCCAAATTCCATAAGGTTGCATATCCCCGTGCACATCTACCCGATGCTATACCACGCTAACTTACCCGACGCTCTGCGATCCCCACTGTCCAGATTTTCGTCGGGTAGCATCGAGTACAGTCGAAAACAAAAGAACCGGACACTTTGTTTTATTCAAACTACATGTATTATTGTCGTTATATTAATTACAACATACTTATTTTAATATAAACCAAATTAACTGTGATTAAAAATTAATTAGTTTTTATTTAAAAAATTAATTTTAATGGTTTGGTAGAAAATTAATCAAAACAACGGAATACGATTTTTTGATATAATGAATTTAACTAACAATTTATTGTACTCGCTTCGGCGGTACATATACTAAAATTGGATCAATTTATTACACGGTTTTGCTCATAAAATTTAATTAACAATTTATTTCTTAATTTTGCTCGTAAAATTACTCCATTTTGTAATGTCGGGTAGCATCAGAACAGGACACTCATATTTTTTGTAGTTTATTTCAAACTAAGTACATGTAATTTTGTCGTTATATTAATTACAACATGTTATTTTAATGTAAACTAAATTAAACGAGATCAAAAATGCATAAATTTTTATAAACATAGTTTAATTGGTTAGGAGTAACTTTATTTAAAACAATTAAGTTTAACAAACAATTTATTAGATGGTTGTGCTCATAAAATTTAACTAACAATTTATTACAAGGTTTTGCTCAAAATAGTGCATTAAGAATAAAAGATGCGTTGCGATTGTGATAGTGATTATTGTGATAAATGCTGTGTACTGTACGCGACGTATGCTTGCGTCGGATAGATATGCACACCCCACCAAAACGTGGCACGCATCGGGTGTGTTTCTGGCTGAACTAATAAGCCCGGTTTCCGTGGTTGAATTTCTTCTTTGGTTATATTGTACATCCCAAAGTATTTCCTTCTGCTAGAAAATGAGGCGTCATAGTTTATTAGTAGGTGTGTCTAATGCTTCTTTTCAGAATCTTTGATGCCTTTGATCGAGCTCTCTTTAGAACACAAAACCGTGCATATAAAAACCTCTGCAGAAAAAAATTAGCGGAAAATTGTGTCTAAACTGGCCTTGCGCAACAAAAAAACAAAAAAAACCGCTGAATCGTCCATTCAATAATTAAGAAATCGGTTAAAAGTTAAAATGGAAAACGTACCGGTCAGGAGGCTTTCCACAAACAGATGGAAATTGTGGAAAGGTAACATCGGTAATAACAATATGGAATAGGGTGAAAACCCAATTGTTTGCTGTTCATTTTATTTAAATGGCGAACAATTGAGTTATGAATGTGTAAACTACATCTCCGACCTCTCTGATCCGCCTATTCTCACTGGTTAGATGTAGATGTAGATGCATCAATCGGGGTATATGGTAAACGTTATCTTTAAGAACGAAATATTGTGCCTCCTGTTATGTGCTGAAAGCACACCGGAAGCCGTAGTTCATCAAGGAACTTGGCTAGTAAGCCCGGTTTCAGTGGTTGAATTTCTTCTATGGTTACGTTGTACAGAATATGCATCTGCCATGTTGGATTATACCAATCTTCTACAGATGCCTATTCAGTGTCGTGTTAAGAAGAATAGTTGTTCAGATATCGTGAGTTGCGGTCGGGTGTGATGTACGTTTCAGAAAAACATTTTCTTTATCGTGCCAACGTTTCGATCTTTTATTGAGATCATCTTCAGGGCTCAAAGTGTTCGGCTTCTGTGTAATTGTGCCATTCTTGCGTGTCGTGTTGAGAGTGCCCAGACACGCAAGGATGGCACAATTACACAGAAGACAAACACTTTGAGCCCTGAAGATGATCTCAATAAAAGATCGAAACGTTGGATCGGTAAAGAAAATGTTTTTCTGAAACCTACATCACACCCGACCGCATCTCACGTTATCTGAATAACTATCGATTAACGGTCACTAATCTCTACACACGTTAAGAAGAATCCTGTCAAGATTCGCAGTTTTTCTCCTCTCTTTGTTGCACTCTGTTGTTTTTTCTTCCAATATTTTCTAGAAGGTTCTTGGATTGTTTGGGCCATTGGGTGGTTGGAGTGAATTCCACTGTTTCCTCCTTTTCATTTTGATCTTTTTTGTAAGGTCATTGATAATCCCTATGAATTCTCACATGAGCCCCAGCAGAGGGTGACTTTGATTTGCGTACCTCATCTGTTTAGTTTAGTTTTTCAATTCGATTTCAATTTTCAATTCAATTTCACCATCTTTGAACTAATGATGTTTGAACTTAGCGCTTTGATGGCTGCTCGGCTACCTGACGTGAGCTCGTGCTCTTGATCCGTCAGTATACCAGCAGATGGTGTCAATCATAAATGAGGGGTTTCTATCTCTTTCCCATTTTTTTGTGGTACTTAAGTTCGTACGGAAATTCAAACATTCTGTTGTTGCTACCATACTCATGCTTTCCTCTTGAAGCCATGATTATGGATGTTCTTTCATTAGGTTGTTTCGATCCCTCCATTTTAGTTATAGTCCTGATAGAGGTTTCCCTTTGATGAAGCTGTCGATAGTTCTCTATGCGGTTCTCATTACTATATGAGACCATATGGTTGAGGGGAAGTTAATCCAAATACTTTCTTTTACCAGCTGTGGGACATGTTCTCATCTTTCTCGTTATAAAAACGCGCGTTCTCTCTTCTAATTATCGTTCGAGGCTATTGAGCCATATGTGAGGATATGCCTCACTATCATAGTGTACATCAAGAGCAAGGTTTCTGATCTGCATCTCCAGTTCTTCCCTGCTATTCTTCTTCACAACATCAAGGCTCGTGATGCTTTCTTGACAGCGGTACCGATCTGCCCCTTAAATGCCACTGTTTGTTTGTCTTGTGTGGAACCTAGATATTTAGCTTCATTTTTAATTTCTTAATTAATTATTAAGTTTTATGTGCCTCGTGTGATTCATTTATCATGACACACTTTTATGTAAATTTTCATAGTCCAAGTCTTGTGCAATAATTAACGTTTTGACCATCGTCAGTTCATTTGTAATCTGATCATTGTGTTACGTTCATCGACCATGTTTCACAATTCCAACTTTTTTTTCCAACTAAATTGACACACTACTCCGGAATATTGTTTTTTGAAAAAAAAATTATACAATGATAGAAATTCATTTTTTTCACATCCTACACGTATTTGTATAATTTAAACAATCTTTAAAATCCCAGGCTATAAAGATGATCTCAATAAAGATCGAAACGTTGACACGATAAAGAAAATGTTTTTCTAAAACCTACGTCACACCAGACAGCATTTCACGATCAATAATCACTATTATCATTATTATCTTCATATTATTATAACAAATGAGTTTGTTTCTTCGCAAAATATATTGAGAGTGTTTTATAAACTGATTTTTTCCTCTGGATGTAAAAGTATCGGACTAATCAGTTAGCTTCGGTCTTTTTTGTCTTATGTAACCTATCCAGTATCGTTTTACATTCTTCCTTGCAACGTGTGACCTTCATCATTTTACAGTATTCCAGTCATTAAAAACTAAACTATTCTTACCCGGTGCAAACACTCTAAGACACAGGATAATATTAAGATCGTAAAAGTTATAAAAGAAATAATATAACTTTAATTGAGGTCGGATTTCTTTATTATTCTTTATTTACTTTGTATTATGCCTTTGGAATTAATTCCAGACCTATCTTTTCTTGTATTTACTTTCTTTGACTATAATCTGTGGGATGACAAACAAATGATGGTTTAATGATGATGTAAACAACTATTAATTCAAACAAAAAACGTTTATGACATCTTTGTAAAAGTTAAATAACCATCGCCACGTTGATAACGCCAAAATTGACAGTTATTATTTGTTTATTATTAATCCAATATAGCCCTGATGATGACCTTGAAGCCCGGGTGGAAAGATTGGCAAAGTTGGATTTTTTTATTTTATTCCAACCTTTGACCATAATACTGATCAAACATCAAATTGAACTTCAAGTGGTCGATACCTTGACGACCTGCAGATAGTTATCATTTGTCAATATGTGAAAAAACCAGTCTCATTAAGTGATAAGTAAAAATATTTAGTGTACATACTTTTCCAACGTTCAGACCATTATTTTTTTAATAAATAATTTTTTGAAAATGTTTATAATTTGTTGCCTATTCGTATTAGTACATATTACAAATGTGATAGTAATATATTTTTCCCACGGTCACAACAATGCTAGCGTGGCACCTGGCGAACACTCGCCATGAGAAATCAGCAATACTGGTGTGAGGGATTTAAAGGCATGTATGTTTCCCATGAGGGGTCGCAATGTCTTTAGAAAATGTAGTCTTTAGCGTGAACACCTAGCACATAAGCCTGCCTTATCACACGTTTAGATTCTCAAGTTAGGAGCGACTCAACTCCGGTAGATAGTGTGAAACCGTGAGGTTCAGTGTAGAAGCCACCACATCCACAGACTAGACAGACATGCCGACTTCTTCTGATTGTCCCGTGGGCCAACATTGTACACTTAACCGTGTGCCACGCGTAAAGGGATACCCAAAGGGAATGAAATGCGTCTCAGCGCTTCCTAGGTAGAGAATACAACTCTATCACCCTGAGTGTTGGGGCCCCGCCAACTCAAAACTACTGGATCCCGGCCGCGGTTTCGTTTAGAGTAGAATTTCTAACCACCCCTTAGAAGAGA